GTATCTTGACCGAAAACATCGAGAGCGTGCAACCAAAATCACGTCAATGGCAACACTTAAAGAAACATTGCTAAAGGAGTGGCTAAATATGGATCAGACGATTGTTGATAACTTGATCAAATCCATGAAAAATCGAATACAAGAACTGAATTTAGCAAATGGAAAACCTACTCTATACTAGTTCCAAATATTGTTTATTTACGTTGAGATTATGTAATTAAATTTTGAATATTGGAAGTATATTTCTCAGGCTAAAACTTTTCTTAGGACACAATATATATATATATATATATATATATATATATATATATATATATATATATATATATATATATCAATGATATTGAGCACTTTAATCCATAAATATAGTATATCTCAAAATTTTATTTTTTCATATAAAGTAGCGTCTATAATATAAGGAACGGAAACAACAAAGACATAAATATGTGTATTACTTAAAACGTAATGCATGATTAGCAATGAAATTTTTACCGAATAAAATTTGGGGGGAATGCATAAATATTATACAAAGTTACAAAACTTTGCATAATAGTTTTTTTTAAAATAAAGATTAAATGGAACAAAGGAAATAAGCTATTGGAAAAAAATTTACATGATAGTTTTTTTTAAATAAAGATTAAATGGAACAAAGGAAATAAGCTACTGGACAATATTATGGCCGCTACTGTATATATATATATATATATATATATATATATATATATATATATATATATATATATGATTAAAATGTTCAGTACATGTGTGTTAGGTTTTGGTTCGACTATTTATATATAGGTAGTAAGATTTATTGTGTTATCCTGACGGTTATTGGTGGGTTAATGATTATGTTTCAAATTACTACCGATAATGCACCATTAACAAGCATATATAAATAGTCGCCAAAACACAACACATATGGCCTGAAGATCGCATTCAAACATAAAACAGACTGTCGCTTTTGCTGTTAACCTCTGTGTCCACTTTTATATTTACATACACTCTATTCCTGATAGTGAGCACTTTTACTGAGAAATATAACATGTATTAAAACTATATTTTTAATATATATATATATTTATATATATATATATATGCACATTCACACACACATATACACACACACATATATATATGCACATATATATATATATATATACATATGTACTCACAAACATATATATATATATATATATATATACAAATATGCATGCATACATACATACACACACATATATGCACACATATAGTTACATACACTGTCCCCCATATATATATATATATATATATATATATATATATATATATATATATATATATATATATATATATACACACATATACACCCCCACAGACATATAAATATATGCCCACACTCATATATACACACATCCACACATTCAACACACACACACACACACACACACACACACACACATATATATATATATATATATATATATATATATATATATATATATATATATATATGCACACATAAATATATCACACACATATATACACATACTTAGGATATTACCCCCTCTTACAATAGTGTCCAACGTATTTATGAGGATTGGTACGTACCCATTAGTGTTCATAGGTACTGTATATCACAGTTTGCATATAACATTACTCTTTAGTTGTATATATTTAGTCACTGAGCACATTTTTTGTCCTCGATTTTTGCTCTGATATGAGAGGACAGATAACCCGGGTTACATCTTTGGTCACGGTCACCAGTTAATATAACGCCTTTTGTCGCCGCAGAAAGTTTTGGCATTCGTTGCAAAAGTTTCTCAAAGTATAAGTTTGATAATTGATTCTATTCTTTTTTTTTTTGTCAATGATTGCAAGAGCTCTTTTTTTAAATTTTTTTTTCACTTTTCTGTCAAGTTCATCCCATGCAAATTCTGGGGTTGTCTTCAAACTTTTGAACTGTAGTGTTTATATTTTTGTTACCCTTCTTTTTTGGTTATGAATATTCTTTTAATATGTCGGCTTTTATTTCTTTAATAAAATTGTGTGACCCCGAGAAAAAAAAATATTCTATCGTAACCGGATGTATCTATATTAACAGCAAACAGCACATGATAAAATATAAGTCGTCAGAATGTATCTCTCATCGATCCTAAAAAATGTACCTGATTAATTATCAACTATAGATAAAACAAATATGGAAGTTTATCATAACCAATCATACCAATCCTAAATATTGAATCAGTTGCTATTTTTAAAAATAGCCGTCACAATTATCGCAGTGTATTGTTAAATATATGAGTTTAACAGCTTTAACAAAATATTATAATGATAGTCATAAATATGAATGCGGGTCATTATTTAAAGAAGTAAGAGGGTACAATGAAAAGTTTAAAACTTAATGGTTTCTATTTCACTAAAGCAGACGTTAAACGCTTGGTAGAATTATCGCCTCCTCTATTTCCCCTGTCTTTCTTGCTTTCTTTCTTTCTTTTCTTATTATTACGTATGCTTTCCTTTTCAGCTCCTGTTTTTAAAGTAATGTCTCCTACGAACGAGTTTATCTAGATTCATAATGATTGTAACTCGTTTATTTGATTTTGATTTTTTCATAATAATATTCATTTATTCTAACATCAATAGATTTTTTTCATGAGATTTTTCTATTGCATCGTTAAACATTTCAGCTTAACAACTTTAATAAAATATTACAATGACAGCGGGTCCTTATTTAAAGAAGTAAAAGAGTACAAATTGAACACTGACAAGATTTTCTATTTCACTAAAGCAGACGTTAAACATATTTTCTCGTTTTTCTTTCTTTTTGTTTTATTACGGTTGCTTTCTTTGTCTTTGATATATATCTTTCTTTTCTGGTTCCACGCAATCAAGAAGGAATGGTTTATTATTTATCTTGAGTAATGGCAAGGCATACGGACTAGGCTAACTAAATATAGAATTACTAACTATGGTTCTACAGAGGGATGCTGAGGATATCATGGACCGAGCGTGTGATCAACGATGAAGTCTTAGATATGTTACAAATAAGGAGAAACATTAGAAAGAGGCAGCTGAGTTTTCTGGGACACATAATGAGGAAGGAGGGCATGGAGAATCTGATATTCATGGGCCGAATAGAGAGAAAGAGAGACAAGCGAAATAATGTAATAAAATATTACAATGGCAGCGGGTCATTATTTAAAGAAGTAAGAGAGTACAAATTGAACATTGACAAGATTTTCTATTTCACTAAAGCAGACGTTAAACATATGGGAGCGTTATCGCCTGCTCTATTTTCTCGTTTTTCTTTTGTAAGAAGCAATATTCCGTACTAATAGGAATATATACTTCAAAAACAAGGTGAATAAAATAAGTAAAGGTTTATTGTAAAAAAGAACAAAAAACAAAAACAAAAAACAAGTACAATAAGAATAAAGGTAACAGTTACACACAAGATCATCGCAAGTCAATTCAGTCGTGAGTGCTACTATTGGAAGGTCGGTAGTTCTCGAGTCGTACTTAACAGATCTCAGCTAGCCCCCCACCCACGAAGGTTGATGTGGCACAAGGCCGAGTATAACGTGGGTAATCCGAACCCGTAGGCTCGGCCAAAAATTCTCCGTAGAGCCGGTATAAAACGAGGTCGGGTAGCTGTTTCCCGAGACGAGACTCTGCCCTTCGGCATAGCCTCGTCTGGGGATTCTCTCTGCCTCCGGGCATAGAGTTTAACCAGCACAGCTGGAAAAATTCCAGCTAGTCAATACGTACTAGTCGCTCCCCCCACCACGCGGGTAGATGTGGCACAAGGCTGGGTTAACGTGGGTCATTCGAGCCCGTAGGCTCAGCCAAAATTTCCCCGTAGAACCCCCATCAACGGGTTTGGGTCTGTCTACCTCTCCAGACGTGACTCTGCCCTTCGGCATAGCCGCGTTCGAGTTCCTCTCTGCCCGAAGGCAGAAAGTTCGACAGCACAACTGCTAGTAGTATTTACCAACCTCCCACAAGGTAGGATGTGGCACAAGGCCGAGTTTAATGTGGGGCAATGCGAGCCCATAGGCTCGGCCAAAATTTCCCCGTAAACCCCGCATAAAATGGGTCGTGTCTGTCTAACTCCCCGGACGAGACACTGCATAGCCTCGTGCGGTTTCCTCTCTGTCTGAGGACAGAGAGTTCGTCTGCACTACTGTAACAGATTCCAGCTTGTATTATTTATCAACCTCCCACGGGGTAGGATGTGGCACAAGGCCGAATTTAATGTGGGGCAATCCGAGCTCGTAGGCTCGGCCAAAAATTCCCCGTAGAATTGGAATAAACGGAATCGGGTCTGTCTACCTTCCCGGACGAGACTCTGCCCTTCGGCAAAGCCTCGTCTGGGTTCCTCTCTGCCTTCGGGCAGAGAGTTTGACAGCACAGTTGGAACAGATTCCAGACGGTCTCTGTAGTCCGTTGACTTACAGATACTTATAGGTAGTTACTACCTATAGCGTAGTCACTCATGGGGGTGACAGGTTATTCCATTAAATCAGTTAACTTCGCTACTATTTCGGTATTTCAATCGACAGATTAATGAATAGATCTTCCCTTCGGCCAGCGAGATTACTAACTATCCTTGACTATACACATCTCTTACACTAATCTTTCGTCATTTTGATTAGCAGTGGCTCCTGATCCTTCTCAACCACTCTATCATTTGTGCAGGTTATCACCCGCCAACAAACGGCTTCTTTCTGATTTACTGAAAACATAACCATAACTATATAAGCTCACAATCGGAAATCTGTACATTCAGGCCGAGTGGCACTTGATCCCTAATAATTTATATATTTATTTATATAATTTCCTTTTCCCGTTTATGGACAGCCAAATGTTGTTTTGAAGATCTCACTTGTAGATTCTACCGTCTATGCACTCATAAAAACTGACACGGTCCAGGCCCAGATAAAATAATTTACTATGCCCTTCGTGGATTTTCTAAGTCACTAGTGTATTGTGTTATATATATTTTTCATATTGTTCTTATAATGGTGTGGGGGATATTCGTAATTATTTCAATGACGAACGAGCTGTCAGCGGAAGAAAAGTTGCCACTAAGAAAATCCGAAATCATAATAATTTACCTGGGCTTGAACACCGATCGCTGGCGGAAAGTACACAATTCATCATCGTGGCTGGCTGACTACTCCAATCTATAAACTTCCACAATATTAACAAAGCTTCAAAAAGTCACTGCATAAAATGTTTTAGATTAATGGAATCGTGGCATTTCATGTTACAGCTTTTTTTAAATAATATTTCTTAACCTCTCTCTTTATCGATCGTTCATATCTATCTATCTATCTCTCTATCTCTCTATATATGTGTGTGCGTGTGTGTGAAAAGAGTGTGTATATATCTATCTATCTATCTATCTATCTATCTATATATATATATATAATTATTTATATATTATATGCGAGGTACTTATTAGAAAGCGCTCAATATCAGAGATATATCACAGGCTGCTTCCATCTATCTATCTATCTATCTATCTATCTATTACAGGCACTTTCTATCTATCTATCTATCTATCTATCTATCTATCGCAGTTCATTATTTCACTTTCTGTCAATCACTGGATCTATCTATCTATCTATCTATCTATCTATCTATCTATCTATCTATCTATCTGTCTGTGTGTGTGTGTGTGTGTGTGTGTGTGTGTGTGTGCGTACAGCGTGGTTCCTCCAGCAAGTAATTTTGCTATAAACATAGTTCAAATTCTTGCCGATAGGCGTGCATCTTGATCAAGTGATAATATTTTGAAGGAATAGCAAGATCTTTATCAGAGAATACATGACATTTACGGGAAATGAAGCCATACATCATTCTCTACGTGACCGCTTAATTTAGTTTTCCATCTTAGAAATAATTCCCATTCGATTACTTAGTGTTCTATTTAGGAAGTAAGAGATGTTTATTTTTTGCCGTTAACATCAGATCATTTCATAAAATCATTCACTGCATTCCTTCACCGTTTTCTTTCGTCTTTTTTATGTGCCGTGTCCCTTTAGAACGTAGGCGATCATGGCCCTCCACATCTTCCTGTCCGTTGTAGTTCTTAATATATTTTTTTTTGTTATTTCTTCCAAACCCTGTTCTGCCATCCATTTGCTCAAGCCCATCAAGTATGTCACGCGCTGCTATCCTCTGTCCCTCTTTAACTCTATCTGTCCTGTGAGTATCGGATTTTCCATGCCCCCCTTCCTCATTACGCGCCCCAGAAATTTCAACTGTCTCTTCTTGATGTTAAGTATAAGTTTCCTTTTTATATTTTCTATAAAACCTCGTTGCTCACATGTACGGTCCATGGTATCCTCATCATCCTTCTGTAGAACCAGATTTCTGTTTCTTGAAGTTCCTTCTTCATCTTTGAGGAAATTGTCCAGCATTCACTGCAGTATTTACTCGTTCCCAAACTAGAATGAGATGTGACACAAGGTCGGTTTAATGCGCGTACACCCGGGCAAGGACAAAAATTCCCCTCAGCCCCAGCAACCGTCGGTTGCGCTGGCCTCGGTGCGAGCACCGATCCTTCCCTCTGGTGCAACGGGAGGGCGCTGCCTCCGGCAGCTGTTCCCCAGGGCTGGGAACCTCTTCAGTATTATTTTCTCAGTTGTCCCTCCGTCCTTAGAGAAGCCCCTGAGCGCACTGTGTCCAAGGACAGAGACGCAACTGAGAGATGATAAATAATGCGCGTACACCCCTCCAAGGTGTATACTATACAGGAGGATGGATTTCATGTAGCAGTTCAATATTCTTTTCTTTTTTTCTAACAAAAAAATTCTCTCTCTTAATACTCTGCTTAGCTTTTGGAAGGCATCTTTAGCCATCCCAGTACATCTTCGGATCTCAGTGTCTGACTTTCCGTCCTTTGTTAGAACACTTCCTAGATATCTAAATTTCTATACCTGCTTGATTGATATGGACCAGCATTTCAGTTGAGGATTAGTGCACTTCTGCTTGCGAACAGTCTAGTAACTGTGCACTTCTATCTCGGAACAGTGTAGTAGCTATGTCTTTCTGCCTACGATCGGTGCAATAGCAGTGCATTTTTGTCTCAGAGCAGTGTAGTATTTGCACACTTCTGCTTTGGGGCAGTATAATACCTGTGTGCTCTGTAGAGTATTACACACAGTATAAGGTTGGAGCTGGCTGCCTCCTAAATCCTAACTCTATAGCGTCTCGTGGCATATCCCAGAATTTCCACTTTTGGTCATAACTCACTGCTAAAAATAACGGTCTACAGATGGGCAGATTGAATTACTTTCGAATGAAATGTTTTTGTTTTAATTTAATATTTTTCCCTTAATTCTCTGCAGTGTATTCATACCTTTGTGGACTGGTCATGTCTTGAGAATGTCTGATGACAGGATACCAAAGATCCTAACAGCCAGTTAGATCAGGGCTACAGGAATGTAGGACACCCATGGCTAAGATACAAAGACAAGCTGAAAAGCAACTTGTCAGCTGTCAATATACCACATAACACCCTTGAACGCTTAGCTTTGGAGCGGGTAGAATGGAGATCAACGTGTTTTAGTGGACTCAGCAGTTTTCAATCTGCTTGTCTGAATCATCTTCAAGAAGCGAGAGCAAGATCTAAAGGGTCAGCCAATCTAACAGTGATCTCATCTCAATCCTCACACTTGCTCCATATCCGGCCTCCTTTGTAAATCACTAGCGGGTCTTAAATGCCACTTAAAATTATCGCACAAAATTGCATAACTGAATCAATTAAGCTGTCAGATCCTCATACGTCGAAACCGACGGGAGAGTTCATTATTATTAACCTATATATTTGTAATTAAAATTTATTTTTTATTAAATATAATTTTTTGGAATATAATTTTACTTATTTTAGATATAAATTATTTAAATATGAATTATTTTTAAATAATACTTATTTTATTAAGTCTTTTTTTTTTAATATAACTTGTTTTTGAAATATGATTTTTCGCTTCTAAGTATGATTTTGTATTTTTAAATATAACTTTATATATTTTAAAGATTTTTTTAAACCCCTTTTAATTCCTCTCTTAGTTTTAAATTAACATTTCATTCTTCATATAAACCCATATTTAATGTCATAAGGTTAATATACGGGTTTAATTTCATAAAACCTCTTCTCTTTAAGAAATATACCTTCCACCCTCCCCTAACCATTGTCTTGTACCTTTCGTTTCACTGAAAAATTGAAATGGATAAATTCTATATTAGTTTTTCGACATTTTTTTTTGTAGCTTTAACAGTTAAATTTCTGTTTCCGACACGAACTCAGTCTACATCGGGGTTGAATAAGACTGACTAATATTTTCGTCGGTCGAAAAAAGTTATTCCCCATATGTGGTGATTTGGGAATTTATTGTTTATCATATATATATATATATATATATCAAAGTGAACATTGAAGTCAACACTCAGAGGCGACAGTCTGTTTCATACTATACGCAATCATCAGGCCGCCTTACCTACGTTCTATCTCTGATATTGAGTACTTTATTCCATAAATATAGGACGTTTTAAAAATATAAATATATATATATATATATATATATATATATATATATATATATATATATATATATATATATATATATATATATATATATATATATATATATTCACGTTCATACTAATAAGTTATCTGAAAGGTCATCTATTCGAAATAATTTATCTGGAAGTCAAACATGGGATTGATTTCTTCTTTTCTTTTTTTTTTTATCGCCAGGTCAATACTCCTTCCACTTCTCTTGAACAGATGTAGAGGTTCATACTTTGTTTCCTGTTTAAGAAAGAGTTCCCGGTTCTTTTCCTTTTCTCAGCCCTTTATGGTGCTGTCATGAATTTTTGTGATATGCGTGGATGGTGGTAACGTCTCTTCATACTGAGGGTACCGAGTTGGCAGTATTCTGGTTGCTATCCCCGACTGGTAGTTGGGAGCCCGAACTCTTGAGTAGCATCTTGAGAGGCTATCTGATCAACAGTTCGGGGTTTCTGCAGTTCTACGTTGCGCAAGGACGAGTGTCCCTGCAAACGCCTCCGGTGGGCAAACCCGAGACCACACTCTCTGTGCCATTTACCTTCCTACTACCCAAGGCCTTCCCTTATCAATATAACATTTCATGACTATAAACAATCAAAGATATAATCCTAAACCAGCTCAACAAAAACACCTAAATCTCTTAAACTTTTTTTCTCTAACATTCGTAGTATTTGTACCAACTTCTATAGTGTGGAATCGTTCCTCTTCGAAGTCTCCGGACATCCTAGCTCTCTGCAAAACTAATCTTAACTCTTCCATCCTGACCTGATTTCTCGATTCTTGGCTACATTCCTCTCCTTAGAAAGGACTCTAATATCCATATACATGGACTGAGAATTTATGCCCGCGAACATCTCTCTTGAATCTCCCGACCATTCTTACATGTGTCTCCGTCTCTCTCTATTAAACTCAGTCAGCTATCTCTTCTTTCTCGACCGTTCCCATTCCTCTCAAGACTGTTGCGTGCTAAATAGTATTTCTGATAATATAGAAAAGGTCATCCCCCTACACATATTAATGTTCGATGACTTTAATGCCTACCGTACCAGGTAGCTTAAACACTCTGTCACTGAACTCGCTGGCATCCAAACTGTTGCCTTTTAGATCGCATTTCTGATTTATATAGACGAAAATAAATAAACCTATTGTTTAATAAATAAATAGAGCGTCTACTGAAATATGAGTATCCACTAAAATGACGTTTAAAATGATATATATATATATATATATATATATATATATATATATATATATATATATAAAGAGAGAGAGAGAGAGAAAGAGATGGAGACAAAAGAGAGAGAATGTGTGAGATAGAGAAAGGGACAAAGAAAGAGTGTGTGTGTGTGTGTGTATGTGAGAGAGAGAGAGGCGGGGAGAGAAAGAGAAAAAGGGAGATAGGGAGAGATTCTAAATTACATTCATATTCGGAAACTTTAATATATACATATCTGTGTGTGTGTGTTTATAAATTAAAATATTTAAGAAAGAGACAATCTTAAGGTTCCATGATTAGAATTTATAACTAAAATTAATTATAAATAAATTATAGTCATACAACCTTAAGGTTGTCTCTTTCTCAAATATTTAATTAATATTTGCTGTTGTTACATTAAACTCTCTGCATTACATCCTCTTTGGAATTATCCACATGGTTTACCAAACCCTTCATTATCTTCCTATATATATATATATATATATATATATATATATATATATATATATATATATATATATATATATATATAAAAGGCAGGATTATAATTTATAACTAAAATTAATTATAAATAAATTATAGTCATACAACCTTAAGGTTGTCTGTTTCTCAGAGAGAGAGAGATAGAGAGATAGAGAGAGAGAGAGAGAGAGAGAGGAGAAAGTGAGGAAAGATAAACGTGCCTATTTTGTTTTTTTTAATTGTCTCCTCACTTTTTATGGCTACTGTGTTCGTAAACTTGTGCCATAAAAAATTACGGAAATATTTTTGTAACTTTTTTATTTACGTTTTTATTTTTATTTTCGATACTTCCTGAATATTAAGTTATATAAATAACTTCATCAATTTCTTATTAATGATTTTTATTTAACGCAAATTTCAGTAGACAGCGTCGATGATTTTTTCGACTCAAGGCGAATCAAAGTCAGTAAGTGATTGCGAAACATGTTTAGTTTCGCGTCCGAATTTTAAACAGCGATCAAATAATAGAGAGAAGAGCGTGCAAAACAACTTCGTTCGCGTAATGTCCTTCTTCAAAAAATAAAGATGGCTGAAAGGAAGAGAAAGCAGACCTTAAATAACAAAGAGCAGACCTGCGCATCCCAAACTTCCGGAAACAAAAGACTACAAAATCAGTGTCCTGGAGCATGCTCGCTTTGATAAACTAGAATCCGTCAACCACTCAGTTTCTACATCTGACGGCCGCCCCATAAGCGCAGATAATTTCACTTATTTTTCCACAGCAGCTAACAAATTGTAATAAGACCTTAATAATAAAGTGGCGAGTAGAATGTTATTTATATAGTTTCGAGATGGTGGCATCAGTCGTACTGGGGATTTGAGAACACGAGAGCTTTAGTCATCTAAAATCCATTTAAATTACTCGATCAAACGAAAGAGAGAAAGGAAGAAAACCTACTTAGTAGAAAAAAAAACGGATATACTTGAATTTCTCTATTTTTCTTTTTCAAGAAAGAAGAATAAATAAGATATTCACATATATTTATTTCTTTTTACTTTAAACGTTAATATGTTTTTGAGCAAACATCACTGTTTTTTTTTTAAATAGAGTAAATTTACGTCTTTCGACAGATTTAATAAGGAAAATGTACCATCGTGCACAATTCGAAGCAGCATCTCTCATAGATATAAACGCAATCAGTCCATGTGTACTTGTGATGGGTTCGAAATAACAATATCTCCCGAGTAAGACCCCCCATAGAGGAGAACATGACTAAAGACTGTGTGTACGCTATCCCGTGCAGCTGTGGAAAGGAATATAAAGGAGAGACAGGCCGCTTCCTCAAGGTAAGGCTTCAAGAACACCAGAAACCTGTAACACGTTGGGAAGTAGAAAAATCAGGCGTGGCTGACCACATATGGAGAGAAAAGGGAGATCACCGCTCTCTGTGGGATCATGTTGAGATCATAGACAAGGAACACCATTGGAAAATTCGTAAACTTAAGGAATCAGCACATATGCTAGGTCACAAAAATCTCCTGAGCCGACCAAGCATAGAAATAAATACAATATGGGAACCAGTAATAAGGAGTGCCAGAGAAAAGCAATGATAACAACATAGTTACAATATGAGCTCTGGTAAAAATGGTTCCTGAAGACATTAGGTTTATAATACCTAGAAATTCATACCCAGATGTCCTCAAGGACACATGGAACAGTGGATAAAGGCGTTGGTTAGATTCAGTGACAGGACCCAAAGAGTGTGAGTTCAATACCCGGTTAAGGCAGTGGAGAGGGAAATTAGCAGGACATAAAAACATCAAACATGGCACGTGGAACTAGAACAGTCTACCCCAGTGAAACGAAATAAAGGGTTCAGTTCGAAATTCCAACCACCTGAAGAAGGCCGGAGCATACAACGGCCGAAACGTTGTGATAAATATGGCGACAAATATGAGGACAATAGTCCTAATAATGTAAATAATCTCCCTTTTTATCATCCTCCTTCAAATTTGGGCGAGCTGAATAAAAAAACGGAAAGAAATTCGCGGTCCTGTGTGAAATTTTCATTTGATCAATGAAAAGGAATTAGCCGTTGAGAAATCAAAGAAAATAGTGAGCCTATGTGAAATACTTTTTTGATATAAAATGAGGAGAAAAATTAAGTCAATATGAAAAGAAGTCTGAAGTCATGTTAAAAGTTACATTTCTGTTCACGCGTCCAGCATTCAGATTTTCACCAGTGTCAAATTTCTCGCCAATTATATTATCGGCCTTAATGAAGCACTTGACACTTCAAAGAACTTTATTTCAACAAACCAAGGAAAGTTTCTCTCTTTGTCTAGTTTTGAATATATGCAACCGTATATCCATTCTGTGAAGAAGGAACTTTCTTACCTTTTGTTTTAAAACATGTTTTTAATATTATTTTGTGTCAGATCATTTAATCTGTTGTGTGAACATTTCCTCTTCATGACAATTTACTGAAACTATGGACTTTAAAAATTTCTTATTTATTTTCCTGAAACGAGGTATGACACAACTTTAAACGTGTAAATTTGTAAATAAATTCCTTATCTTGATTTGTTAAGATTATCCGTGCCTTTCCTCGTCATTATCTGCCTTCATTAACTTTCGTGGCATGGGCAAATCAACTGTTCCTTTTAACCGCGAAGTCCTATGCCACTATATACTGGCAAAGCCACGGAAATTATTCAACCCTCAAGCACGGTTCAGGTATCCTATTTTTTAAAAGAATAGTATATACTGGAAGGGCATTTTTAATAATTTTAATAATAAAGAAACAGTTTCTGATTGGACGAAATTTTAACCAGTTATTGAGTATGTTATACTGTTTTAAAAAACTTAAATGTAAAAAAAAGTATTTAGAATTAAAGCTAACAGTAAATAAAAGAAATAAGAAGTGATGTTTAGCAATTTAGTTTTCTTGTTATGGTAAAAGAGGAATAGAAAGTGTTATACGCGTTACCGTAAGACCGGAATAACACCTTAATAACTAGAGGTGATCAGGTTGCGTGTTCGATAAATATATAAAGTTACATTGTTTCATTGTTTCTACTCATGTGGCTTTTGAACATGAGTAGAGGTTTATCTCTTGTTTCCTGTTTAGGATTCGGTTTCCGGTCCCTTCTAAAGTTTACTTTAAATCTATACTTCTCCGCCTGAACTCTGAAATTTTATTGGCTACTTAAATCTTGACATTATTTACATTATTCGGACTATTGTTCTCATCTTTGTCGCCATATTTATTACAACGTTTCGGCCTTTCAGTATTTGTCTATATTTCTGAGATGAGGTATTATGTACACTATTTACATTATTCGGACTATTGTCCTCATCTTTGTCGCCATATTTGTCACAACGTTTCGGCCGTTGTACGCTCCGGCCTTCTTCAGGTGGTTGGAATTTCGAACTGAACCCTTTATTTCGCTCACTGGGGTAGACTGTTCTAGTTCCACGTGTCATGTTTGATGGAAATAAATACAATATGAGAACCAGTAATAAGGAGTGCCAGAGAAAAGCAATGATAAAGTTTTAATATGAGCTCTGGTAAAAATGGTTGCTGAAGACATTAGGTTTATAATACCCAGAAATTCATACCCAGATGTGCTCAAGGACACATGGCACAGTGGATAAAGGCGTTGGTTAGATCCAGTGACATTGTGAGTTCAATACCCGGTTAGAGTGGAGAACTTTCAGAGGGAAATTAGCAGGAGATAACTGATAACTGACATCCATCAAACATGGCATGTGGAACTAGAACAGTCTACACCAGTGAGCGAAATAAAGGGTTCCGTTCGAAATTCCAAACATCTGAAGAAGGCCGAAACGTTGTGATAAATATGGCGACAAAGAAGAGGGCAATAGTCCGAATAATGTACGTAATACCTCATCTCAGAAATATAGACAGACTTTAAATCTTGACCTTTTCAAGTTTACAATGAGCTGCCTATTTTTTCTGTTATCTTGCCATTTCTTACGCTAATACAACTTCACACAGTAACCCTCTACCTTGAGTGGCACCTGGGCCTTATATTGTGAAATGGTGAAAATTATTAAAAAAAAAATTTTGTAGGTGCATTTCTTTGTTACTGTTTACTGTAAACCCGAGATTTTAGCTATGTTGATTGATATGTTTTTTACGGTTTATCAATTCTTTTCAGGTTATTTAAAGCCAAAAAATATTTTTAGATTGAAGGAATTCTTTTTGGAGGGGGGAGATAATAATGGTTTAGTGATAAAGTCTTATTAATTAACCCATAGCTAGAGGGAGAGTAGGTGGATCCATACCTTTCACAAGGTTATCTGCGCGTAAGTAAACGCAACAGCAATTGGAACTCGGCTCTCCGATTAATAATTCTGAGCCATTATCCACTACATCAACCAAAACATCCAAGCTTACAACACGTGTTATTCCCAAGCGGTCACCCATCTAAGTACTGACCAAGCTCGACATTGCTTAACTTTGGTATTCGTACGAGAAGCGGTGTTTCAACATGATGCGGTCGTAAGCCTAGATTTTAGCTATGGCAATTTAACTACGTGGCAAATGCAAGACACTCAGTGAGGACCCAAATCAAAAACACAGTAATAATGGCTTTTGATATTAGCCTCTGGTGAGACGAACAAAAATGACTGGGCGATATCGCTCACCGATGGGCGATTTCAAATGTTGGGTGGGCGATGAGAAACTGAACAAAAAATGGTGAGCGATTGAAAATTTTGGTGAGTGATAGAGGATTTTCTATATTTTAGCATATGCTACTTTAAAAGAGAAATATTCAAAGGATATATGCAAAGAAACCTGTATAAAATACGCAGGGGACTTAATGAGAATAACTAGGTGACATTCCTAAACAAAATAAAAATTTCCCCGCAAACAACGAATATTTTGGTATTTTCTATAATTTTAAGAAAGGTCATTAATATTCAATAGTTCTTCAGACGAAAAAAAACATTTTTTTCGGATTTAAATCAAATAGGGGAAGACCAGGAAAAAATCGCTGAATTTTTATTAGTTGCTAGTAGTGTATATTCTTTTTAATTTAAGAGACGAAGAAAGAGTGTGTGTGTGTGTGTATGTGTGTGTGAGAGAGAGAGAGAGAGGGGGAGAGAGAGAGGGAGAGAGAGAAAGAGGAGAGAGAGTGAGGAAGGGTAAACGTGCCTATTTTGTTTTTTGTTTTTTAAATTGTCTCCTCACTTTTTATGGCTACTGTGTTCGTAAACTTGTGCCATAAAAAATTACGGAAATATTTTTGTAACTTTTTTATTTGCGTTTGACTTATTAACTATATAAAAAAAGACCTTAATCTGAATTTTATTTTCAATACTTCCTGAATATTAAGTTATATAAATAAGTTTCTATTCATCAATTTCTTATTAATAATTTTTATTTAACGCAAATTTCAGTAAACAGCGTCGATGATTTTTTCGACTCAAGGCTAATCAAAGTCAGTAAGTGATTGCGAAACATACTTAGTTTCGCGTCCTAATTTTAAACAGCGATCAAATAATAGAGAGAAGAGCGTGCAGCTGTGGAAAGCAATATAAAGAAAATTAATGAAGAATTATGAAGAAAAATGTTTATTTTTTTGTCAACACTTGCAACTCTAACCATAAAACTAACCTTAGCATAAAACTAAATTATATAATTTTCAATGTTCAAGATTACTTTCGTATGTTCTTTAATAAAGTAGCAGAAGTAGAAGCCTGCGTTATTTGTTGTTTCCCTTTAGTATTTTTACTATATCATAAAGTCAGTTTATGAACCAGTAACAAACTTTTACCAAACGATTTTGTTATAATTTTGAATATTTACTATACAGATAGACGGTGGAAGATTTTTCTATGTGAAAGTGTGTGATGACGCAAAAATGGCTCGGAACGCCTGTACTAGATGTTATTGTTTCATGCTTAAACACACTCTTCAGGCTATGTGTGTTTTTGTTTTGGCTCGACTATTTATATATGCTGGTCAATAATGTATTATGAGTAGAACGTCTATGGTATTATACTAACAGTTATTAGGTGAGCGGTAACGATTATGTTTCAAATTATTCTAGAAGATATCGAGTAAAAATAATTATATATACAAATGCAGTTATTTAGGCACGAAACAGATCGTCTCCGCTGGTCATTGACCTCAATGTCTAATTTATATTGACATACGTTATATTCCTGATTTTGAGCACTTTAACCTATAAATATAACATACTTTAATATTAATCACATCTTATATATATCTATATATATAGTAACAATGAATATACACTGCATATATATTTTAATAGCTGGCCACTCGTATTCGAGGATACCCGTCTACTAGGGCGGATAGCCAATCCCTATTGCAGACGCTCACTCATGCACATTTGTGCTTGCTCAACACCCACGATGACTTTTGGCTTCGTGCTAGTGCAGGCAGCTATCGACGGCCCCCAGTTGTTTCGTTTACCCAATTTCACTCACAAGTCTTGGGTCAACCCGTGGTATGGTTTTCGGGCACTTTCTAAAGGTGTTGCACGCTGGGATCGTTCCCCCTCCAGACCGATAACACCTAGAAGTCTCCTTCCTGACAAATCAACGGTGGCGAGATTCGAACACGGGTCTCATGGTCAGAAAGCGATATATATATATATATATATATATATATATATATATATATATATATATATATATATATAGAGAGAGAGAGAGAGAGAGAGAGAGAGAAATAATAATCACATAGAATCAATCAGCAATATTAATGCTATTATTGGCGATATCCATCGCTAGTAGGATATAATGTATGCATTAAAATACTGTTAATCCATAGAATGATGTGATCCTCATTTATAAAACTGTTGTCTGTTGTTTCCAGTTTATATTTTTTTAAAATGCAAGTATTTTCGAATAATCCTTTATTCATCGTCAGGCATTTGTTTTCCTTATAAGATTAAAACTTGAAGACGAAATAATTGTTTGTCGACCGAAAGATGTTTTTTTTTGAGTATGTGCTATTATTGACGGTTGTGTACAATATCGAAACGTGCAAAGACGCAACGCTAAGTTTTTCAAAATTTTAAGTGAGAATTTTATTTGAAATTTTTTTGTGATGTGGTAAATCAACGTATTCTATTTTACAAGTGTTTTCAGTTAATATGTCATGAACTAAGAATATAGTTCAATTAATATAGTGTTATTCCTTAGTAGTAGTTTTTTTATAGGAATTTTTTTGTACTGCGGATCGATAGTTTTTTATAAACATAAAACATTAGGCAGCATATAATTTATATACAAAGAAATAATCACACATAGAATCGCCAATAATAGCATTAATATTGCTATCGATCGACGTATGAGGGTCAAGCAGATCAGTTCCTAGGATAACCGACAACAGCACATGAGATTTGATTATAGTGGTGAAGGTTTCGTGCAGGACCATCCACAATTTTTAAAGGGCCGAATACAGAGACCTGGTGCACTACGTGCCACAAGGTCCCCAAACGACCCTCCGCAGGTTTTGAATTCAGAGTTGTCCTTCTCCTAGACGAGCTGCCATCCAAGGCTATCATGCTATTTAGCCATAGCTGGAGGGAGAAGATGATTTACACCTTTCCCAAGGGTATTAGCACGTAAGTCAATGTAACTGGATTTGACTGGAATTCGAACTCAGCTCTCCGATTCCTCCGTGTCTTATATATATATATATATATATATATATATATATATACAGAGAGAGGAGAGAGAGAGAGAGAGAGAGAGAGAGAGTCCGCCCCCAAAATGTATTCATATTTTTGGTACGGAAAAACTTCTCTTTCGTAGTTTTATTAAATTGCGATAACCCTGTTTACTGTAGTACAATATTTTCTCGACAAATGGCATTATCTTCATGGCTGTAGCATCAACAAGTCATAAAAGATGTTGTGTACCGCAGAAAACCGGTTACATTGGCGGCCCTTAGACAAGAAATTGAAAATGCATGTGCAACAATCCCAGTGGACATATTTGACAACATTGCCCAAGCAGTAGTTCACCGTAATAATAAATGTCTGGAAGCTAAAGGTCACCATTTTGAGCATCTCTTCTTATGGCAGAGTCCAAAGATAACTTGTATTAATTTCGTGATGTCTGAATTTCCGAATTAATGTCTGAATAAAATTTAGTATTACAATATCAATACAAGTTTTTCCTTTCCTGAAGTGTGTATATATTTTTTGTCTGTTTGTCTGTCTGTCACTGCCCCCCCCTCTCAGCGTCCCGGGTAAGACGATAAATTACATCTGACAGCAAGGCCTCTGATTAAGAGGATTTAAAGAGTGTGGAACCACCTCTTAATTGCTGGTGTTCCCAGGTCCACCCTGACCCGGGGTAGTAGCACCTGTTAGGGTCCCAGCTATGGGAAAATAGTTAACTCCAAAACAGTATGAAAGATTAAAAATAGCTTTTTAATACCAGTTATACATTTTTGCAAAAAAAATTATTACCAACAATGAATTTTTAAAGGAAAAACTTATTACCGGCAATATATGTTTAGAAAAAAATATTACCAACATTACATTTTTGAAAAATAATATTACTAGTAATAAAAATTTTGTCGGAATTAAATAACCCATTGAGTTTGATATACCGTAAAACAAAACAAACCCAATCATCTCCCTCTCTCTCTCTCTCTCTCTCTATATATATATATATATATATATCTGGAGAAAGATAGACAGAAAGATGCATCTTCTTCAGGCAGCAGGCAATTATGGGTCTCCACAATTTCCTGTCGTAATAATTTTTTTCTTTCTGTTATCTCTCCTAAATACTGTTCTGGCATCCATTAACTCTTGCTTGTTTTTTTAATGTTCCGTGTCCCTTCTGGACGTTGGTGATCATGGCTCTCAACAATTTCTTGTACTTTGTAGCTCTTAATAAACTTTGTTATCGCCCCTAAATATTGTTTCGCAATCCATTAACTCAAGTTCCTTCCCCACTTCTGATGAGTGGACATTAATAAGACCGTTTGTCTTAAATTTTTCATCCCCCATGAATATTGTGGTTGACAGTTTTGTTTTTGTTTTCGAGCGAAACACGCGCGTGCACACATATATATAATTATATATACTAGCAGTATGACCCGGCGTTGCCCGTGCTTGATTTAAAAAACGTACTACTCGTACAGCAATCGCTATCACTTGACTTAAAATATTTTTGTCCTTCTTTGCCTTTAAAGGAGTGCCCTTTGCCGTGCTGATGTTGCTACATGCCTTACTTCTTGCCTATCTCACACTGCGAATTTTTTCTATGCTCTATACTAAACATTAAATCTGTTACGAAAAAAGAACTAAACAAAATGAACACAAACCGATCAGCTTTAAAAAAGGACTCGTAACTGGAAAAACCGAATGAAAAAAGAATGTTAACAACAAGTACTTTTTCACACTCCAACCCAGTTCTGCGGAATCAGAATCAACGTTGAGTTTAAGCAAGCGAATGAGCCAATTGGAGTAAAGTACCATGCAGATTTAAATTTTTCCCACTTGTGACGAATGCAACTATCGATTTTTTTTTTTGCATGCTAGCATGCTAGTTAACATTCGTGTCAGTCAGCTGTTGGTTCTCACGCTGGCCAATAGAATCTTCCTGCCTATTCGTGGCAGCCAGCTATTGGCTATCACTCTGGCCAGTAGAAAATAGCCGCAAACTACATGAAAACTGCCGTAGAAGCATGAAAAAATCGATTATTTCCACTATCGATGGGAGTTGGGAAATGCAAAGTCAGTCTTGGCCTTCTCGCTAACTTGGAGCATGTGCATGTAAAATTCGTTGCACACACACACACACACACACACACACACACACACACACACACACACACACACACCCTGCCTTATATATATATATATATATATATATAGGAAGATAATGAAGGGTTTGGTAAACCATGTGGATAATTCAAAAAGAGGATGTAATGCAGAGAGTTTAATGTAACAACAGCAAATATTAATTAAATATTTGAGAAAGAGACAACCTTAAGGTTGTATGACTATAATTTATTTATAATTAATTTTAGTTATAAATTCTAATCATGGAACCTTAAGATTGTCTCTTTCTTAATTATTTTAATTTATACCCCCCCCACATAGATATGTATATATTAAAGTTTCCGAATATGAATGTAATTTAGAATCTCTCTCTATCTCCCTTTCTCTCTCTCTCTCTCTATATATATATATATATCTATATCTATATCTCTCTCTCTCTCTATATATATATATATATATAATGAACTCTTCCGTCCGTCGTTTTCGGCGTATAAGTGTCTTTCAGTTCAGTTCTTATGTTCATGTTTCGTATGAGACAACAATCCTGCATGGAATTTGGAAACAAGTTCACACGAGGGACATGCTGAAGAGTTGACGGTCATATGGGCCGATGTATTAACCCGAGATTCAGTGATGGTTCTTAATTCTCTCAGATCGTTGAGGCGATTCTTTTCAAAGTTAGTTATACCTCGGTATCAGATGTTTCTCCAGTTTGCTTGGTTTTCAACAGCAAGTTCGAAAAATTTGGCTATACATGAGGATTTTCGGCATTTGATCATCAGTCATTCTGATGACATGACCAGTCCATCTAAACTGTGATTCTATCAGAAAGGATTCAATACCATCGATGCCACATTTGATGAAAAGATTAGGGTTAGAGATTTTGTCTTGCCATGTATAACCGCACCTTGAACGAAGACAGCGTTTATGAAAAGCATCAACTTGATGTGTGTCCTGTATGGCGTCCACGATTCTGACCCATAAAGAAGTGTGGTGAGACTCAACGCTTGACAGACACTGATTTTCTTTTTCAGTGAAATCTCACGAACATACCATAGGCGATGCTTAAACTATCCAAAGGCATAGATTGCCTTTAATAGTCGGTTAACTATCTTCTTCTATCTTATCCAAAGAGGTACTTGAATCGACTATATATATATATATATATATATATATATATATATATATATATATATAATTTGTTCAAACGTTATTTTTAATAGATACTCATATTTGAGTAGATGCTTTATTTATTTACATCTACCGAGAAATCTTTATTTACATCTTTAATTCGAGAAATCTTGTTAGAAAAATTTATTTACATCTTCAATTTTCTTCAAAAATTTATTTACATCTTCAATTCGAGAAATCTTGTTAGAAAAATATGCTCCCTCGGGAACCTGTGTCCTTTGGGATAAACAGTCAGACGTGCCTTGACCTCTCAGCCAAGTAGAATAATAGTGCTTTTGAATAGACATATTTTCTGAATCCCGAAATATACTTATCTGCTCTGTTTCGTATCCTAACTTAAGCCAAGACATTTTTTTAGAAAATGGATTCAATCCGAAATATTTTAAATTTTTTTGTTTAAACGTTATCTTGATGTCTTTGTCTTCTTGAATCGCTACACCACACCCATCTAGTGTTGCACACAGAGCCTTGACCGGTGTGTTAACGTTTCAAGGGAGTTAAGTGTGCATGGATATTCAGGTTATGTGGAAAACTAGATGATGTTCTATAGTTTGTGATTGCCCGCATTATCAGTTGGGATCAACATTGGTGGCATATCCCTATTTCTGAAGGTTGGTGCTACAGTGACCATCAGCTGTTCGGATGCGATTTAAACAGGACTAGAAGGGCCAGGTACCACTGTAAGCAGGGGGAGGGATTCTGTAGGTCTGAGTGACAGCCTGCGTTCCGCGTTGTTAGGGTGACTGTAACACAAAGACAGACGCTGACTAAGTGCTATGTTGTTCAGTGGTTTGGCTGAGCGTAAAAAGTTGTCTCTTCACTTGAGTCCCTTGGTCAGTGGTTCACAGCTGTGGAGTAGAGTCAACTTCTCGAGTTGGGTGTGGACTGTCCTTCTTATGGAAATAGGAGCAATGCCACTAAGCAAGTCATGGTTACCTACTTTGGTTGGTCTGAGAATGCCACTGAATGATCTGAAAGAGATGCTTAAAACAGGGTCGGTTTTCTTTGAGTGTGAAGGGGTATATGAATACCAGTGTTGTTTGGGTAATCTCTCTCTCTGTCTTGCACTCTTTCTCTCTCTCTGTCTCCCTCTATATACATACATTGGTTTATACGAATACAAATATAGTTTGGAAGATCTATCTATCTATCTATCTATCTATCTATCTATCTATCTATCTATCTATCTATCTATATATATATATATATATATATATATATATATTGAGGTATACGAATACAAATGTAGTTTAGAAAATCTCCCTCTCTCTCCTGTTCATATCTATCTATCTGTTCACTCTTTCTTTCTTTCTTTCTTTGTCTCTCTCTGCCCCCTATATATATATATATATATATATATATATATAGGGGTATATACGAATAAAAATATAGTTTGGAAGTTCTATCTATCTATCTATCTATCTATCCATCTATCTATCTATCTATATATATATATATATGTGTGCGTGTGTGTGTGTGTGTGTGTGTGTGTGTGTGTGTAAAGAGAAATGGATAGGTGAGAGACGACTGAGAGAGAAAAAGAGGGAGAGAGAGAAATATGTAGTGAAAGAGACAATGTATAATAGAGAAAGACATTAATATTTCATATTTTGTTTAAGCATGAATTCTTACGGAAAAAAATTTACATTTGACTTCCTGAAAATCTTGTCTCCGACAGCGTTTCCCTGTTTTGTTAGTGTTTATTGCTTCTTTTCTTTTTTCTTTTTTTCTTGTTCTCATTCTCCCTCGTTTTCTCTGTCTTTTCTTATTATTACCAACACAACGGTGACTACCATCTCCGTGAGTTTTATCCCCCGCCATAACTCCGTCGTTGTTAGTCATTCATCTTATCTTGTATTGTTCTAACGCCACGAAAATCACGATTCTTAACACAAAAGAAAATGAAAATAAAGATAATAATAATATTGAAAAAGCCAGATTCACGATATTTGCGAGATTTTTCTTTCTGCCCAGAACTGGTTTGCTTACAATGGTGGACTCAAATCCCCAACGTCTTTCAAAACTGGTGGACACGCTTCCACTGTATTTTAAAATAGCGGACACAGTTCCAAACGTGTTAAAAACCATGGGTTCAAATTTGTGCAAGTACTGAAATTGGTAGATTAAAACGGTGGACACGTTCCTCCCTGTATTTTAAAGATGGTGGACGCAACTCTCAAAACATTGGGGGCAAATTTTCTTATTAGATGAAACACTGTAAAGAATCGTAGTAATATTAATAGTAGTATTATTATCTGCAATTTTGATTAGATCAAGCATTATCAAGCATTCTTCATTTTTCACTAGGATTTCTTTCATCTTCATTTCAATTGCTTTATTTCCACTAGTAGTATTAGTAGTAGTAATATTATCTGCAATTTTCATTAGATCAAGCATTGTCAAGCATTCTTCATTTTTCACTAGGATTTCTTTCATCTTCATTTCAATTGCTTTATTTCCACTAGTAGTATTAGTAGTAGTAATATTATCTGCAATTTTGATTAGATCAAGCATTATCAAGCATTCTTCATTTTTCACTAGGATTTCTTTCATCTTCATTTCAATTGCTTTATTTCCACTAGTAGTAATAGTAGTAGTAATATTATCTGCAATTTTCATTAGATCAAGCATTGTCAAGCATTCTACATTTTTCACTAGGATTTCTTTCATCTTCATTTCAATTGCTTTATTTCCACTAGTAGTATTAGTAGTAGTAATATTATCTGCAATTTTGATTAGATCAACCATTGTCAAGCATTCTTTATTTTTCACTAGGATTTCTTTCATCTTCATTTCAATTGCTTTATTTCTACTAGTAGTATTAGTAGTAGTAATATTATCTGCAATTTTCATTAGATCAAGCATTGTCAAGCATTCTTCATTTTTCACTAGGATTTCTTTCATCTTCATTTCAATTGCTTTATTTCCACTAGTAGTATTAGTAGTAGTAATATTATCTGCAATTTTCATTAGATCAAGCATTGTCAAGCATTCTTCATTTTTCACTAGGATTTCTTTCATCTTCATTTCAATTGCTTTATTTCCACTAGTAGTATTAGTAGTAGTAATATTATCTGCAATTTTCATTAGATCAAGCATTGTCAAGCATTCTTCATTTTTCACTAGGATTTTTTCATCTTCATTTCAATTGCTTTATTTCCACTAGTAGTATTAGTAGTAGTAATATTATCTGCAATTTTGATTAGATCAAGCATTATCAAGCATTCTTCATTTTTCACTAGGATTTCTTTCATCTTCATTTCAATTGCTTTATTTCTACTAGTAGTATTAGTAGTAGTAATATTATCTGCAATTTTCATTAGATCAAGCATTGTCAAGCATTCTACATTTTTCACTAGGATTTCTTTCATCTTCATTTCAATTGCTTTATTTCCACTAGTAGTATTAGTAGTAGTAATATTATCTGCAATTTTGATTAGATCAACCATTGTCAAGCATTCTTTATTTTTCACTAGGATTTCTTTCATCTTCATTTCAATTGCTTTATTTCTACTAGTAGTATTAGTAGTAGTAATATTATCTGCAATTTTCATTAGATCAAGCATTGTCAAGCATTCTTCATTTTCACTAGGATTTCTTTCATCTTCATTTCAATTGCTTTATTTCCACTAGTAGTATTAGTAGTAGTAATATTATCTGCAATTTTCATTAGATCAAGCATTGTCAAGCATTCTTCATTTTCACTAGGATTTCTTTCATCTTCATTTCAATTGCTTTATTTCCACTAGTAGTATTAGTAGTAGTAATATTATCTGCAATTTTCATTAGATCAAGCATTGTCAAGCATTCTTCATTTTTCACTAGGATTTCTTTCATCTTCATTTCAATTGCTTTATTTCCACTAGTAGTATTAGTAGTAGTAATATTATCTGCAATTTTCATTAGATCAAGCATTGTCAAGCATTCTTCATTTTTCACTAGGATTTCTTTCATCTTCATTTCAATTGCTTTATTTCCACTAGTAGTATTAGTAGTAGTAATATTATCTGCAATTTTCATTAGATCAAGCATTGTCAAGCATTCTTCATTTTTCACTAGGATTTCTTTCATCTTCATTTCAATTGCTTTATTTCCACTAGTAGTATTAGTAGTAGTAATATTATCTGCAATTTTCATTAGATCAAGCATTGTCAAGCATTCTTCATTTTCACTAGGATTTCTTTCATCTTCATTTCAATTGCTTTATTTCCACTAGTAGTATTAGTAGTAGTAATATTATCTGCAATTTTGATTAGATCAAGTATTATCAAGCATTCTTCATTTTTCACTAGGATTTCTTTCATCTTCATTTCAATTGCTTTATTTCTACTAGTAGTATTAGTAGTAGTAATATTATCTGCAATTTTCATTAGATCAAGCATTGTCAAGCATTCTACATTTTTCACTAGGATTTCTTTCATCTTCATTTCAATTGCTTTATTTCTACTAGTAGTATTAGTAGTAGTAATATTATCTTCAATTTTGATTAGAACAAGCATTGTCAAGCATTCTTCATTTTTCACTAGGATTTCTTTAATCTTCATTTCAATTGCTTTATTTCCACTAGTAGTATTAGTAGTAGTAATATTATCTGCAATTTTGATTAGAACAAGCATTGTCAAGCATTCTTCATTTTTCACAAGGATTTCTTTCATCTTCATTTCAATTGCTTTATTTCCACTTGTAGTATTAGTAGTAGTAATATTATCTGCAATTTTGATTAGATCAAGCATTGTCAAGCATTCTTCATTTTTTACTAGGATTTCTTTCATCTTCATTTCAATTGCTTTATTTCCACTAGTAGTATTAGTAGTAGCAATATTATCTGCAATTTTGATTAGATCAAGCATTGTCAAGCATTCTTTATTTTTCACTAGGATTTCTTTCATCTTCATTTCAATTGCTTTATTTCCACTAGTAGTATTAGTAGTAGTAATATTATCTGCAATTTTGATTAGAACAAGCATTGTCAAGCATTCTTCATTTTTCACTAGGATTTCTTTCATCTTCATTTCAATTGCTTTATTTCTACTAGTAGTATTAGTAGTAGTAATATTATCTGCAATTTTGATTAGAACAAGCATTGTCAAGCATTCTTCATTTTTCACTAGGATTTCTTTCATCTTCATTTCAATTGCTTTATTTCCACTAGTAGTATTAGTAGTAGTAATATTATCTGCAATTTTGATTAGATCAAGCATTGTCAAGCATTCTTCATTTTTTACTAGGATTTCTTTCATCTTCATTTCAATTGCTTTATTTCCACTAGTAGTATTAGTAGTAGCAATATTATCTGCAATTTTGATTAGATCAAGCATTGTCAAGCATTCTTTATTTTTCACTAGGATTTCTTTCATCTTCATTTCAATGGCTTTATTTCCACTAGTAGTATTAGTAGTAGTAATATTATCTTCAATTTTGATTAGAACAAGCATTGTCAAGCATTCTTCATTTTTCACTAGGATTTCTTTAATCTTCATTTCAATTGCTTTATTTCCACTAGTAGTATTAGTAGTAGTAATATTATCTGCAATTTTGATTAGAACAAGCATTGTCAAGCATTCTTCATTTTTCACTAGGATTTCTTTCATCTTCATTTCAATTGCTTTATTTCTACTAGTAGTATTAGTAGTAGTAATATTATCTGCAATTTTGATTAGAACAAGCATTGTCAAGCATTCTTCATTTTTCACTAGGATTTCTTTCATCTTCATTTCAATTGCTTTATTTCCACTAGTAGTATTAGTAGTAGTAATATTATCTGCAATTTTCATTAGATCAAGCATTGTCAAGCATTCTTCATTTTTCACTAGGAATTCTGTCATCTTCATTTCAATTGCTTTACTTAATAACGACTGAGTAGTGAGTTCAATCCTCACTGAGTGCTCCAAGAAAAGAAAAAAATGGTGATGAATGATGGAACAGACGAATGTAAGGAAAAAGGACCAATTTGTAAAAAAAAAAATCCTCACGTACAATTTAAAAGGCGCAATCACTGACAAACAATTAGAGATATGGTTAAACAGAGGACAACTGAAAAAAGAAATTGAATCTCTTATAATTACAACCCAGATCATATGAACCAAAAAACAGTTATTTAAATTATTTAGATTGTTCAGACTCTTGCCCTCATCTTTATTTTCATATTCACGACATTTCGGTCGTTGTACTCCCGGTCTTCTCCAGGTGATATACGTTGGAGTTTGAATATGACAATGAAGATGAGGACAGCAGTTTGAACAATATAAATAGTGTAAATACTTACAATACCTCATCTCAGAAATGTAGACAGATGTTGAAGGAGCCAGTGATATCAAACAAAACCTATAAAAACAGCAAATTTGACGTTTAATAAGACAAACTGTAAGCCATATTATAAGTGAATATAGCAAGCTAAAATGAACACAAAAGCAATTACGACAGGGTAGCCATTGTCATACAATGAGAACTCTAGTAATTTCT